AAACCTCACCGGTTACTGTCTCTGTCTATTCTCGCGTTTTTTAAATTGCCCACGCGCTCTTTAGCCCTCCAAGTTCATCAACGATATTAGAAAAAGAGGGAGATTATAAGGAGAAGTAGGATAAGAAATAAGATATATGGTTATACAAAGCATAATTCTAGTAATCTCGCGCTTATGAATTATTCAATGTCCTTACATAATTTGATCAAATATTTTGCTGTTTCAGTATTACGATAATTAAGTCTATTGTCTCATTTTTCTCAAGGAAAAATAATATTCATCATACTTAATATATTTCAACCGTTTCCATAAAATACAACGTCTCTCCGAGCACATCCGTCACCTCAATCGATCGCCCAGCGCAGTGAGCGAAGGTTAGTGGCATAGTGATCCATTAAGAGAACTCGTGGGTGAATATATGTAACTATAGCAGAGAAAAGTTGTTTTTGTTGGTATGTTTCATGAAATCATAAATAAGTGCATGGTATATAAACCAAAGAGTTTAGGTCTGTTAGCTTTTTTTGAGTGAGGAATTTATTTCATTTTATTTTCAAGAAACGAAAGAATATGAGAACATTGTGGGAACAAAACGGCTGATATCGCAGAGCCAAGCGCATTGTCTCAAAAGTAAACTTAAAAGACCAGCAGCAGGCAGGTCTGTTCACTGCGTATTATAGAGGAAGAAACTATAAATATATAATTATTACAGTTCCTTCGTGACTTCGAAAAGAGCGAGCGAGCGAGCGAGAAAACGAGAGAGCAAGAAAGCAAGAGAGCAAGAGAGCGAGCGAGAGAGAGACAGACAGATGGATAGACATATATATATGTATGTATATATGTATGTATATATATATATATATATATATATATATATATATATATATAGAGAGAGAGAGAGAGAGAGAGAGAGAGAGAGAGAGAGAGAGATAGGTAGATAGATAGAGATAGAGAGAAGGACACATATTGTGTAATATATTTTTTTTATAAAAAAAATCTAATTATTATTTGAAAATTCCAAAGGCTACATTGATAGTGTAAAAATATTTATATGCATTGGTCACTAACAAAATATCCTTTTATGATATAATCACTGTTTACTTTCAACTGCTTGACATAAAAATTCAACAATAAGGCCTTAGCTGCAGAGCTACACATTTGCAATCATTTTAAGTTTCGTGGGCGGAGCATCGGCGTTGTCGGATGTATGATTGAGACGCACAATGGTTCTACAAAAAAATCATCCTTATAATTATCATTTCTATTACTGTAGTTATAATGATAGTAGTAGTTGTAGTAGTAGCAGCAGTAACAATAATAGTAATAATAATAATAATAATAAGCATTGGTATTATTATTACCCTTGTTGTTGTTGTTATCATTCTTCTTATCACCATCATCACCATCATCATCATCATCATCATCAAAATTATTATCATTATCATCACCACGTACTACTGATATCATTTGCATGGGAGACCAAAACAATGGTGGCTTTTAATTATTGTAAAGTTGTTTATTTTTTTCCAGAGATCGCTAGCTGCCTGTCAGAATGTATTCTTCAAAAACACGTGTAGTATGATTATTACTCTCGTAAATTCTTTTCTTATTAAAGATAATGATATACAGTCTCAATACAATCTTTAAAGATACATATACGTCACGTAAAGAAATTCAAACGATTATTCATCACGCATTTATCAATGTTGCCTATGCTATTATTTGAATTACGAATTGTTGTCTCTTTTGAGCCTCGAAATAAGCGTAATACCTTTTTATATGATCCTAAACCATTTTTTCATGCGGTGCATTATAAAATTTACAAAATTAAATCCAGTAAGCATTAGCCATTTTCTCCTTTTCGGCAATGAGTCGCGCATGCTTGTTGACAACTTTAATTGGTGGTTTTGGAATGCATTTGTGGGCAGAGCTTAAACTTGAAATTCATTGATATTCGGTTACAATTTGTTTTAAGTAATTGCAAGAAATTGCATGTGTATATTCTGGATATGAATGTCTATATTAGACATTCATATACGACTACTATGTGATAGTAAAATGACAGTCTATTTGATGTCTAATTATTGGGGGCACGGATCGATTGTTCGGCTTAATTACTCAAAGGCTGAGGGATGAAGTTTCCCAACTGCTGCTTGAGTAGTATACCAAAGCCACGAGAAATTACAGAAAACGAAGATTTACGGAACAAGGAAGCTGAAAGGGTGACTGTAGAGCCCAAGAATTGAACAAAATCAAGATTCAAAGAGTTTATAGGATGACTTAAACAAACTATAATCACACCAAGATAGATGACAGGTAGGTAGAGTCACTATATATTAATTTTGTTCTGAAGCCACACCCTTTTTCTATTGTCAAGAAGTTGATTGGTTCAAATGCGATGACATACTCCTAAACACACTATTCTATAAGTAGGTCTATTTTGTACAATAATGTTAAAAATGGGAACATAAAAAATATATAATTATCAGCCATGTAAAAATGC